TTAATAAATTGAATGTTGAACGTTATATTTAAGAAAAACCATAAAATTCGCTGTCGTTCATTTCAATAAGGAAATCAACAACAAATAATATTAGTGGAATCAGAATCAACGGCTAAATTGTTCAAAATGACCTCCATCTAGTTCCATACAATAATACATTCTACTTTCGAAAGCGTTCCTTACATTATTGAAGATGGGGGTGCACCATCCTGCTGAAATGTTATTTCATTTTCTACTAAATTGACGACATCATTTCCAATTATGATTACCAAGAATGCCGGCACAGACATTCAATTTTTGTGGAGTTTGTGAATGTGTTTCCATCACCAAATGAGGATTCACATTGCTCCAGTGACGACAATTATGTCTATTCACTTCAATATTCAACATGAATTGTATAATAGGTTTGGGTTATTGGTCAATTTCTCGCTAAACACCTCACAAAACTGAAGTCGACGATCAGGATCATCTTCGTTTAATTTCTGAAGTGGCATCATCAGTGGCACCCACGACCTGATGACTTCGACAATTGCGGAACCAGGCAAATGTTACACCCATGCTCAATCCCTAAAGAGACGGGATGAAATCAAAGGATGTAATCTTGCCAGGATCACCTTGGGCGACCCTGGGAAGCTGGTGCCGATGAAATATCTGGCGATGACCAGGAAAAATCTACGCCTTACAGGTAGGATTTCTGACTGGCCACTGTCAACTAAGAAAACACCTCCATAATATGGGGCTAGTAGACACACCTCTTTGCAGGATGTGTGAACAGGAAAATGATTCCTTCTCAAGGGACCAGGCCTGTCATTACATTTTAGACACTGTTGCCGGTTTTAACAAAAACATGTGAAAACAAATATACACAATTTTAAACACAAAGAAACTCTGGTTAAGTTAGTCACTTAACCAGAGAAACTCTGGTTAAGCCTGAATCGTTTCACAAGATATATAATAGTGGTGGTCAAGTGTAAATAAGTGAATGTCGATGAGAAGGTATCATAGTGAGTTAGTCTTTGTGATTGTTCAGTTATATTTTCTCAGATTTTACAGAGTTGAGTGAACTTATTTTTAGATACTAATTTAACTTCAATGGATACATCAAAAAACACTATAGTTGTTCAAACTTCACCCATGAAGAAGAGCAATTACTTATAAATCTGGTGGATAAATATAGGGCAATAATAGAATGCAAGAAAGTAACACTGTGACATGGAAAGAAAAAGAGGAAACGTTGAAAACAATTGAAAAAGAGTTTAATAGTTGTAGTGGACAAAACTCTTTCAGATCCCAAAAGAATTTGAAGGAGAAATATAATAATATTAAAAAGAGAACAAAACATAAATGGACAGAAAGAAAAAAATTAATGTTACAAACTGGAGGAGGAAGTTATGAACCACAACCAGAATCATCTGTAGACATTGTGATGAAAAATATTCTCAGAGAGCAACTGATAGGGATATACAATAGTTATGATTCTGACAGACTGCCAGATCTCACTTTACCTGTCACAGCTGTGAAAAATATTTTGAAGAACAGCCGTCAGGGCTGATAAACGATGACTGTGGCAATTTGAATGAACCCACTGAACCTGATCTCCCGCAAATGTACCATAACTATGTAAACCAAACCATTAAAGAAACAAGATTGGTTATCTTACTCCAGTAGAGATCTGAAATTACCAGTATCTCAGAGGTTGACAAAGGAAAGAAATGTGAGGAAAATCATAGAAACCAGTTTCAAGAGAGTAATAACGAATCCAAGTAATGAGCTAATTGATTAAAAATTAGCGTTTGTCAGATTTCAAAAAAAAACATTCTTAAAAGAGCATTCTTAGAGAATGACTATTCCCAATAAAGAAAGGAACTTGTGGATAAAAAACTGGAATCAATGAAGAATCATCATAACTAACTAATCATTCTTTATTCATTTTCGTAAAAATATTGTGCGGAATCATTTGAATTTTAACATTTTAAAGAATAAAGTATTGGTTTAAAAAATATATTACATTCTTTCCTTTTATTTGAGTTTATTGCTAGAAATAATACAGTCCAAGTATCACAGAAATAGTATTGAAAATGTTGAAATGTGTATAACAGTTATCCAGCTATCGAGCCTCTACAAACGATAACTCTCAGAAGTCGAAACTTGTGCGAGTAATCGATTATTGATTGGATAATTCGAAATGAAAGTAATCGACCATTCAAATATTATCATAACTTGAGATAATTCAAGAAATGATTGAGGTCATACTGAAGAAGACATGTTTAAAAATCATTTGAATGCTATACCTACATTTGAATACACCTGTAGTACTGCTCATTAGTGTTCTTTACATCTCCATTTTGGTTAACTATCGACAATTAATTCGAGTATGCCCATCACTAATTGAGATCGTTGTCATGAAGTCATGAAGACTTCTGAGGGTTACAGACAGTTATTCTTAGTTATTTTAAATGTACACATTGTGTGTAACATTCATAATGAGAAATATTCTCAAGACAAAGTTAGGAATTTGAAGAGGTTCAGAGAACATTTTGCATATTTGGTGGCTCATTGATATTGACTATATTAATAAATGCCTATTGTTCAGCATTCATTTCAGGCACTGGTTCATTTTCGTCATATGCAATGTTATGGAGTACAGCTGTAGCAACTATTATGGTTTGCACTGTATCTAAAGATACTCCCATTCCCATAGAAAGTGCTGGGAATCTACGCTTCCAAACTCCAATTTGTTCCTCTACAACATTACGCGTTCTGATCTGGGATTCGTTGAATAAGGCCTCTGCTTCGGTTCTCACTTCTTGAAGGGGGGTTATAAGGTACGGCTTTAAAGCATAAGCACTATTTCCCAATATAATAGAGTTACCATATAATCCATTCTGGAATGATTGGTATAATCTAGAATTTTTGAAAATGTGCGAGTCATGAGATGATCCAGGCCATGTAGCAACAATATTCCTGATTTTCAAATTTTCATCAGCAACAGTTTGGACATTTAATGAAAAGAACTGTTTACGGTTACGAAAAATTTCTGCATTGTCTCCTCCAGGTGATTGTATTCTTACATGAGTTCCATCAATTGCTCCAATGCACATTGGGAATCTAGCTATATCATAGAATGATTGGCGTACAATGGGAATTTCTTCGTTTTCTGGCATTGATATATATTGTGCTCCTAACGATGCAACTGCCGCACTCACTTTTCTGACAACTCTGCTGGCTGTAAATTTACTAACACCAGATAACTCAGATGCTGTTCTTAGGAACGAACCATTACCATAAAAATTCAAAGCCAGGAGAACTTCATCACTGGCTGATAAACAGTCATTTCTATGGAAAAAAATTACATATATGAGTAATACGTATAATATAATGGAGTTTTGAAACAAACCTTTCTGTGGGACTATCAATGAGGTCTCTAATCTCTTCTACAATAAGCTCCGTTGTTCTACGAGTTAATCGGAAACGGTCAAAAAAGTCCTTTTGATCATATTCTTCAAAGAAATTTGTTCTAGGTCTAAGCAATTTTGGATGCCGTACCACTTCTTCATCGTCACTAAATGCATTTATGTCGTAAAACTCCACCTTGAAAATCAAAAAATACAAATAAATGTACACAACAAATAGAAAAGTAGGGTTTTTTTTCTTTTGGTCAATTCTTAACCAGTGGATTAGGTTATAGTAAAGTTGACCTTTGGTCTACTTCAGGTAAATGCTTGACCACCGTTGGTGAAACACATTTTAATCGTTAACCAATGGATTCGTTCTAGCCATTAGATGACCAGACATTGTGAAACCGGCCCTAACTGTTTAACGTATTGATGTCTCACGTAGTGGTCTGAATGATTCGTATTATAAATTCTTGCATCAGCTTCAGCACATTCATTATTTCGATAATAGGTTGCATCAATTTCTATTCTTTCTTCANTATTGTATGGAACTAGATGGAGGTCATTTTGAACACTTTATCTGTTGATTGTGTTGCCATTGATATTACTTTTGTTGATTTTCTATTTTTTCTGTTTTTTTCTTAAATAAAACGTTCAACATTTAATTTCTCGATAATGAATGAACCAATTTAGGAAAAAATCATAGAAGTCATAAAGGGACAAAAGGCCTTTTGAATGGATACATGTTTCAAAATGACATTTGTCCTCGACTCCCGATGTTATTGAAAAAAATAGGAGGGGTAGTTGCTGACCGCAGGGGGTGAACTTTCGGTATGATTTCCATATCAGAATTAGTCTCCCTAGAAATAAAAATTGACGTGTCCTTTGAAATTTTCGATGACACGTCCGTTTCTGACTTACAGGAAGGTCAAGTTTTCGTTGGAACGCCCTGTATATTTCCACTTAGATTAGCTATTTCTCATACTCTCCTATTATTTGACTCAATACATTTTTTCTTCAAGAGTTCCTTAAAATTACATTAGCTAACTCGATAATTCTTAACAAACCTAACAACATGTTGAAAATATATCACAAGTGTTGTTACAGATCTAAATTTGCCTGAAAAGTAAAGACAATTTATTCAATGAAATGAATTAGAGCATTCGAATGTTATATCAAATAGATATGGTCGTGGTCCAGTTGCCTTATGTATGTTTAAATGTTACAGCCATATATAGAACAATTTTCAGCTATATAAAATTAGTTTCACAATATTGCCTATCTTTATATATTTACAATGTGTCTTTTTGTAGTAATCAGTAAACCCAACAATATTATTTCAACAAGCTATATAGTATGCTATTTGGCTCTGCAGGCACTGCAGAGACTTTTGAGAAGTCTTTGGGAAGTCTTTGGGAAGTCT